AAGATATTTTATCCAGCTTATTCCTTTGAGAGTTCCCTGGACTTTTTGTTTCAGGTCAAATCACTTTGCTCAATAAGTCTTAGCGTCCCAATTTCATAGCATCAAAGAATCACTGAATGGTTTGTGTTGAAAGGGACCTTAAACCACCCTGCCATGGCAGGGACACCTCCCACCAGACCAGGTTGCTCAAAGCCCCATCCAGCCTGGCCTTGAACACCTCCAGGGATGGGGCATCTACAGCTTCTCTGGGCAACCTGTTCCAGTGTCTCACCACTCTCACAGTAAAGAATTTCTTCCTAATATCTAGTCTAAATCTCCCGTCTTTAAGCGTTATCGTGTATTTCAGACTACACTTTTGTCCTGTCTGCTAGCCCAAACTATCCAAATTTCATCCAGTCTGTCTCCTACCTCAGTCTGGTGTCCAGTCAACCACTCACCCACTTCTGTATAAGTTTTGCTTTCAGCCCCCATATCCAGCCACAGTGTCCATGTCCTCACTGCCTGTTCTGTTTTCAGCATCATTCCCTGTTTCTTTCCAGCTCGCCCCGCTATACTGTTGTTCCTTATCAGATCTGTACATACACCCTCCCTTATTTCCATCCTAGTATCCCATTATTTCTCTGCCCCAGGCCCTCTGCCTGAACAGTCCTTGGTTCTCACGACCAACCCAGCAGTTCCTGTCCACCCCTTTTAGTTCCACCACTCACTCATAGTGCCAGTCTTCCCACATGATGCAGTCCCATTTGCCTTTCATCAACTACGCAGGGTCCACTTTCCCTCTCTATCTAAAACCTCATTATAGTTTCTTTTTCTCCTGCCGATTTCCTTATCCTCCTTTCCACACATCAGATCTGGTCCTGTTCCCCTTGAATGTGAAGTAGGTAGATACGTAATTTCCTTCACATGAACAAGAATTACATATCCCTGATGGGAGGGAAGGAGGCATGGAAATCATCTCCCAGAACAGGAAAACTACATGTTTTCAGAGAAAAACATTGCCAATATTTTTTTTTAGCATGGGTAAAACCAATGTGTTTTTCACTAATCTTGTTCTTGGAAGACATTAAACTCTTCTGGCTGAAACTTTCTGAAGAGAATTCAGCCTGAGGCAGACACCCAATGCAACATGGAAAAATTTAGTTTGAAAAGCTACTTTGACAAAGTTGTGAACAGCTGAAAATAGGCCTTTAGGACTGGAAGAGCCTGGCAGCCTTAGTGATAGATGCTGTTACCAGCCCTGCCTGTAGTGAGAGTCAAAGGGCCACCCTATAAGGTCACCCACTTTGGTGACCATCAAGCCTAAACCAACTGAATTTTATGGAGTAACTCTGGGTTCCTGCTAATTGTTACCAGCCCTGCCTGTAGTGAGAGTCAATGGGACATCCTATAAGATCACCCACCTTGGTGACCATCAAGCCTAAACCAACAAATTTTATGGAGTAACTCTGTGTTCCTGCTAACACAGCCAAGACAAGACTTCTGCCATTTAATTGTCCAATCTGATGCCTTCATGGCCTGATAGAGAGATCCACACAATACTCTTCTGTTCCCTTGGGCTGTGCCATGGAACACGAACGGGGGTAGAAGGGCTGGTTAGAAGATTTCCCCTGAGCCTCAGATGATGATGTGGCAGTTCATCATAAACAGTTGGTGGACAAGCCACTGGCCCCCCAGCTGCTCAGATTCCTTCTGTGAGAGCCAATATAATTGTAGCCCGACTTCAGAGCTTCTCCACTCTGAATTTTGCTGTAATGGACCTACCTAGAGTAATTAGACCACGTGTTGCATCGCCAGATCCATTTAAGGGAGTCCTTCTGCAGTTTGGTTTACATGGTTTGACAGTAATTGTTTAAGTGGATGCCATTGTAAAAGCACTGCAAAACAAAATTGCAGAATTATTTTAAATCAATAAATATAATTACAAGTTCATCAGACCACAAGCTTATCTGTAATTAGTTCTCCATATCATAATGCAGTTCATAACACTGATTTTTTGCGTTACAGGTTGTCAGACAAAATTGACATTTGCAGAGGACAAGATATTTATAGTCAACTGAGCTTTTACAGATCAGAAAGATTTTGAGCCCTGGCAAAAAAAAAATAAATAATCAATTGTGGAATTTGACAAATGGCTATGGAGTTATGGAGTTTGGGAGCAAGTTTGGTTATACTGGTACCATTGGTACCAGGGAAAAAATTACAATAAATTAGCACAGTCCTTACGTACACCAAAGCAAATGGCATTTTGCAACTTCAGTTACTTAAGCAGCTAAATCTGTAATTTTTCTTTCAGGACTACACAAGATTGAGTAGCTTGAAGTGGGAAGAGCTGTTTTTGTAAAGATATTCAAATATTAACTTTCCTATATGAAAATATATGTGCACACACATGCCGAAACACACACCCACATACATATCTGTGGTGTTTAATGCCAAGTATGTACAGCCAGAGTTCATAAACTCTCTACAGCATTTATAAACTGGCCCTGATATCACAAACCTTCATTGTAACCCTGATCTCAGACACGGAAATGATGGTAACCTTCTCAAGGTAGTCACAAAATAAGAGATGGTACTTACGTGCTGACTCCTATACTTTTGTTCAAATCACTGGCTCAAACCAAAACAAAGCATAACCCTGTAAATGTAAGAAACATTCAGTTAGAATATCACAGTAGCAGTTCTGCATCCATACATCACACATTGCTATTTTTGTACGACACATTTCAATTTTTTTATATATATATATCTATCTATACACACACTACTAGATAAGAAAAAAACCCTCAAAAAATCATTTCACACAAAGGAAAAAATTAATGAGTAACAGTAGAATATTAGAGAGGGGGCTTTTAAACTGCATTACAAGTGGCTTATAAGCTTCTGTGATTACACCTGCTTTTAGCAGTGCTTCAACAGCTCAGTGTTAGTTGTTGGTTACAACTGTACTGTGATATCAAACACAGTGTGAGACAAAATCTGTAGTTAAGTCTGTTGGTAGAGTTTCCAAAAATAAATCAGAACAGAATCTAACCCCATCTTAGAAGTTCTTCGGGAAAATGTCTTAAAGCAAAAAGTGGGTTTTCTTCCCAATGGATTTCACGGTTATTTTGGTCACTATTCCAATGTTAATGATATAAAATAATAAATACATACAGAATATAATATGTAGAGGATTTTAATCTATATATAAAATTAAATTAATTTTACATTAATGAGGATTTTAATATCACAGTATTTAGCTATTATTTTTCTATTTCTTTACATATACCTTTGTTTCTCATCTTGAAAGGGGGCTCCACACTGCAATGTGTCCAAAGCTCAAAATTCACCTGTCCAAAACTCAAAATTCCCATTAAACACCTTTATTTTTAAATACATGCTTAAACACAAACAAAATCAATAAGGCATAAGTATCTTAAATACCTAAATGAAATGCAATGAATTTTAAAGACTCCAAGGTTATTTCCAGTCAATCCTATTCAAATTCCATTGAAATATGAGCTTCAAGATGAATCTTTAATAAATTTTAACTACTTGATTTCAAGCAGTTATTCCTAAAATTTTTTTCTTCTGCTGCTCTCCATCCAGTAAATAGAAAGCAACTCGTAAGCACGGGCAAAATTTAACTTTTACATTTAAAAAAAATTAAAAATTGCAATTTAAAAATATTATCTTTATATTGTATTTCCCTGCAGAAAAAAAATACCGTTAAATCAGAGCAAAACAGAATAAAACCAATCCACCTGTGACAAAATTTCTAATGAGCATAAAGATACCATGAGCTTTCAGAGACCAGAATAGTTCCTTGACAACACTTTGGAAAGCACAAAGGAGGGCAAATGCATCATTTGCGGTGAAAAATAACTTTGCCCTTCATTGTGGCTTCTTCAGGCAGGAGGTGGGTCAGAAGCTCCGGGTGACCTCTCTCCAAGTCAACAGAACAATTCTGGTTTGAATTCTGAATCCACACGTTAACTCTTGAGAATAACAGGATGCTGCCTGTCAGCATCAGTTTTACCTGCAGAGGATGCAGAGCACTATTACGCCAAACATGGGCCAGACCATTCTTATGATTAGAGTGAAATTCAATTAATTCATGTAAGGTTCAAATCAAATGATTTAAATGGACAAATACCAGCCAGTATCTGGCCAGTGTTGGGATAGGGGTTGTTTACAGGCTAGATACCCACCATTCAGAGTCTACCAATCAGTAAGTTCACCCAGTATTGGTCCTCTTTTTCTCCATAGTCAATAAGGGGAATGGTAATGACAGTTCAGACATGACAACGTTCCAAGGACTCCTTCCTGCCAACTGACCGTGCCATGGTGGGAAATGAAAATTTGGCCTGTGTAAGAGTACAGTCCATAACAAGACCATGCTCTCTGGTTTACATGGAAAACTTAAGATGCTGCTCTGCAGGGATAAAGGAATCAAAGCTGTGTTTTACATGGAAAACTTAAGATGCTGCTCTGCTGTGAATCCCATACAGTTCCATATATCGCCAAATGTTAAAGGCATTAACCACAACTTCACCCGTACCATTTCACATTGCATCCACATTTTTAAACCATTAATATGAATATGACACTACCAAACACAATTTCAATATAATTGAAATAATAAAGGATTAGAAGACGTGTTTCTTAAAGGCACCACCAATTTATCTACAAGCTTTGTTTGCATACAGCAGCTAGAAATAGCAATGATTAGCTGAAAGAAGAAAAATGGATCATTGTGCTTATTTTTCCAGTTACTTATTATCAAAGGTACATCTGCACATCAAGTAGACAATACACTTTCCCTTTGTGGTCTGCTGGTGTTGGGAAACAAAACAAAAAAAAAAAGAACAGAATCATCATTAAAATTAAGAACCACAGAAATGGGCAATGTTGTATCTACATTTAATTTATTGTCATCTGGCTACATTTCAAGTCAATGACATGCATCTTCGGGCATTGCTGTTTTGTAGCCTACCCACCATAAATAAAATCTGAGGTTGAAATCAATTGACCTGACATTTACCCTGTTCCACAGCATGAACACATACCAGCTCTCGTGCCTGAATTTTAGGAGGCTTCAAAAGACAAAGTGATAAGGGCTGATTAACAGTTACTAATGAGACAAGTCTGTAGGAGTGTGCGAGCCATGAATGGGACAGAAACTCTTTATGGGAACGCTGTGGGTTTTTACCTAGGTTGAACTCTGATATCATCATGTGAGCTACCAAGAGATAGACAAGGCAGTTTATGAAGTGGCAACGTTCACTCTTACGTGACATAGAAAATTATCAGCCCGAAAAGGACACTGCATTTTCTCAGGCAAGGCAATATGATTTTCCTACTTTTACCGTAGGAAGATTCAGTTCTGAAAAGTAGATGTTGAGTTGTATATGCAGTAAGATTTTTGGATGTTTGACTTAGTGAAACATCAACTTGAAAGCAGACAGTCCACTTGGAAGAAATTATTTAATTTTGCAAGATGAGTTAACCAAAAATTCCCAAGTCACTATGGCCTTCGGCAAGTAGTCAAATCCTTCGGTATTCTAGTAAGCTCCTTATTAAAAGGCTAGAAGTGAAGGTATCTCGCAGGGCTTTGGAGTAAACTCACTGCATACCATGCTGTCGTGTGCCCCCACCCCTCATTGCTGCTGAAGCACAGCTAGAGTCCACCAGATCATCCCCGCGGCACAAATCTGTTTTTCATGAAACAGACTATTCCAGTGGTATCCAGCTCGTCCTGGTCCTCAGATATATCACCTGCTAAGAAATGTGAATATTCAGCAGGTTATAGTCAATTTAAAACATTCAGTCACTTTCAGATCCGACTGACAGGGAAGAACCATGAGGAATTTGGTAACAAACCAGCCAATCAGGTGAAAATCCACTCCCGTGCCATAGTGTGGCATGTGGATACTGAACTGGGCTAGTGATCTTCAGCTTCATCCAGGCACCATCAGTTGTTGCCTACAACTGAGCAGCCAACATCTTAATGTCCAGATCAGCAGTTAGTCCAGCAGGCAGCACACCATCGCGTTTCACCTATCAAGACCGGGCCACTGGCAGCCTTGGGCTGCCCAGCAATAGGATTCCTTCCAGCTTGTCCCGATCATTTAATTGGCAAAAGTCCAAAAGTCTGTTCCCGACAACAAATTCATGCCCGAGTTTGACAGGAAGTCATTTGACTCAATCAGTTGTCCTTTTTTCCCCCCCCTCTCTGTCAGCATGAGGCTTTCTGAAGAATCTTCACTCAGCTGCAGTCTCAACGGGTCATTTCTCTCTCATCAGATCCCAAGGTAAAATCTGCTCCAGCTCCATTTACCTTATCCCAGTTCTCCCCATTGTCAATTCAAATCTGAACAAGCCTTTTGAAGTCTCTTAGTTGTCTTTTCTCGTATCGGGAAACCTTCGGGACAGTTTATAATCTATATAAGTACTAAGACAGGACCACAAAATGAATCGTATTAATATAATTACAACTAGTAAAATCATCAAAAGGGCTGATTCCATATTTAAGCTAGAATAATGAGGTAATGCGAAAAAAATACTCTGGGAGATCTAATTATATAATGCAGCATTCAGTTCTGCACGGCCAGCCCAGCAATTCCTGTAACATTCCAATCAAAGTGATCTCACTAGCATGTGAGAGAAGAGTCCAGCTGACAGATTTGGGACATGTAACGTACTATTTAGTCAAGAGGCCCCATGTGCTATTCATAAAGAATTAACAACTCTTATATTGACAATGACAGTATTGTCAGAAGACCTTTGGAAAGGGGAAAAAAAACTCCATAAACTCCGTCTCTGTGAAGTTGGACTTTTTTTTTTTTTTTTGGCCCCTTTTTTCCAATGCTGATGTAATCTCCAAACATCTCCAGCAGCAGCTGCTCAGCGAAACCAGGCACCTTCTCCCTAGTCCCTTTCAGCAGCACACGCAGCACTTTCCAGCTCCCTCAAGACAATCAGGGTCTTTCTTTCACCAATTAGCTATCACTTCAAGAGCCCTGCGCTGTCCAACGAGCTCTTAAGAATGGTCTTTGCAGGAAACAACACTGGAGAAGCTTTTTTTTTTTTCCTAGACAAATTAAAAGGGGAAGAAAGGAGGGAGGGGAGAGAGAAAAAAAAAAGCACAACAAAACAAATCAGAACACAGAAGCTGTCCAAAATGCATCGCTCATTTAGTACATTGATAAATGCAGAAATGTCCTCAAGAGCCAATGCTGGAGCAAGACACACACACACACACACACACACAAATGCTCCAACTTTCTTTAGGAGATAGTTTGTTTAGTTGAATATGTTAAACAGGTTTCACAGAAAGAAGGGCTCTTGTTACAGCAAGTCTCTGAGTTATACGAACTAAAAGGAAAAGAAACTCCTGGAAGATTATGTTGTATTTCCTTATTTGGCTCTCCAAATGTAAAGCAGCATTATTTGAAGTAGACATTATAGGAAAGAACTCAGTTTAGCTCACTTTAAATATAGATGGATTGATGAAATGAGTAATTACTGGAACTGCTAAGATCTTTTTGAACTTACTCAACTAGTAAGCTCCTTTCCCCAGAAACCACACTTTCCATCTAAAAAGAAAATAAAGCCCAATTCAGAGACGTGAAAGCTCTGTGAATTTTACATTCTTTTTCCTTTAAAATCAGGGAATAGGTACAGTAATACCTTGAGGTCCTTGTTAATGCCAAGTCCCCATTAGAACAAGTACAAACTCTAGGACCCAGTTCAAGAAGAAAACAAGGAACTTTTATAGATGTTCAAGTAATTCCTTGCCTGGGCCTGGGCTTCAGGAACTGGACCTGGACAAGTGGAGTTATGAAGGCAAAAACGTGAAGGATCAGAATTAAGTTAAATGACTTGGACAAGGTCTAAGCAATAGCACAGTGTCAGGAATTCTTCCCTGATTTTCAAAACTCTGCATTAAACCAAATGGCATACCAAAATCCTGAGTGTCAGTATTCTCCTACTGATCATTTCATGGTCAAATTTGTCCTGATTGGCATAACCTCAAGAGAGTCAACACATTGCCTTCTACAAGGACAACACAAATACATTTACATTATAATATATATATATATATAAATAAATAGTCTATTCCCTTTTATTGACTGTATTAGGAGCAAAGTTCCAGGCTTTGTAAACAGTTAAATGGCACGGCAAAGCAAATACTTTAAGGGGTTTCAGGAGTTTGTTCCCACTAATGGGTGCTCTTAACTACTACAGGGATTTTTTTAATGGAGATGGAAAGTGCCAGAACTGATCAGACTGCTTAAAAGGAAAGAAAGTCTGATGTATGTGCATTTATGAAGGAATGTGAATCAACTCAAATTCCTCTGCACAGGAAGGTTCAACCAAGGGATGAGTACACACAATCAGGATTAAGAAGGAATCTTTGTGGAGGTGCACCAAACAATGAGTGTCCTTTTATACCTACAGACTTCAAAAGATGCTGAGTTTAAAGGGACTACTCCTTTCAACTAACAAAGATTTTGCTGAAAAAACGCAGCAGGCTGAAGAGAACAAATACATATACATATATGCATTACTAGGGCCACCTCCAGTTATAGGAAAAGGATAAAAAGGACCCAAAAAGGTCTATCAGCTTGCCCTAAAGCAAGATCAGCTATGCCATTCCTGACAGCTGTTCCTCTAACCTGCTTTTTTTAAAGAGACCTACATCCACACAGATGAGAAGTAAAGAAATCTCCATCTCATCTGAAAGGGATTTAAGCAGAAAAAACAGTTTGACAAATTGATCAGTGGTTCTATCTGCTACAATACTGTAAGCCCACAGCCAGGGGCTCTATGTTACATAGTTATTTGGGCAATTTACTCATTTTGAGGCTGTAATTTATTGGTTGAGGCAATGATATCTGCTTTTTTTTTGCTTTTTTTTTTTTTTTTAGAAAAGCATTATTTTTATGCAGCTTTATGCAACAGCTACATCTAAAAACGACAGTATTATTAATGCATAAAGATGGTTTAGTATGAAAGCAGTTTGTTCATAACAGTTCTTAAACATTCACATTCATTTTTTAGGGGCTCCTCAGCACTGACTGCGGTTATGAAAGGCTTTTTTTTTTTTTTTTTTTTTTTCCAGAAAATCATGAAGCTCTATATCTGTCTCCTCTGGATGGACGTGATTGCTGTACCTGAAAGTGTATTTTTTTGGGACAACCATCTTCCTATATCCTGGTGCAATCCCACTGTCGGTACTCTGGCAGGAGTGCTGAAAAGCACCAGCAGGATTTTACCAATTTCAGTATTAACTAATGGGACTGTCACGTAAAACCACACTTCCTATGCCTTGGCCAGCGGCTCCAGCTCAATCTGTTAGCGGCGAGAAGCCCGGTGGTTATTTAAGGGCACACGAGGAACGAATGGGTGGTTTCTTCCAGTGCCAAGTGAACAGGTGCCTCCTCCCCAGGGCTCACAAGTGGTTCTCAGCTAGGCCGGCTCCGGCGTTCCCCCAGAGGTGTCAAAGCCAGAACAGAAACCGCACGACCCTCACACTTGGCGCTGGGTTCTGCTTGGGACAGGCTGAGATAAAGCCGGGTAAGCTCCCACCGGGGCTGCCTGCTCAATAGCAGTTCTATTGGCTCCACATGCCACGGCTGTCAACTTGGCAGTCTTCGTAGGTACTGGAGGGATTCACACAAAGGAACGCTGCATTTCAGTTGCCGAGGATGGAAGGACAGTGCCTTCCTGCTTAGATTTCACTCCTCAGGACGGATTTCCTCCCACAGAAAATTCATGGCACGGTACGAGCAAGGCCAATCACTACGTGCCAGATGAAAACATCTTGTGGCTAGATTTCAGAAACTGCAGTTTAACAAGGATAGCTGTTCTTCCTTCCTCGTAAAGCATTTTGAGACCGAGTGAGGAAAAGCACTACGTAAAGCCTGTAGATTGATAATTATTATTTGGATTTTCCCAAATACACTTTTTTTTTCACATAACAGATGTTCCTAATGCCTGGCACCATTTTTAATGATTTGCCTTTTCAAAGAATGTGTGCTGTATCGCACATAAAAGCATCCTCTCTGTTCAGAGTTTATTTTGTTAAAATCATTTTTCAACTAATCATATCTCCAGAGAGCAATGGCATGACAGAACAGTACTTCTGATGGGTGATACTTTATTACTAACATATGTTTTCCTCACATAACCAACATTATTACCCTCGTCTGCTATAAATATTTATTAAAATCTTCCAATCTGAAATTATTTCCAAGACAAATTCCGTATTTTGCTTTTAAACTATCACACGATCAGTTGTCCTGATAATCAGTGCCCATTGAAGGGTAGTTTAGCAAAAAAAACCCCAAAAGTATGTATTACGCATTCTTGTAAGGCAACAGATTTCCCATCTAATTTTCCAGTTCCAATTATAAAGCAGTCTATCTCCTAAAATATCGCCACATTTCTAAAGCTTTAAAATGCCAAGTGAATTTACAAGCAACAAAGCAGACAACACAACAATAATCATAAACCATCCACTGTTACCATCAGTTTGAAATACATCCCAAAACACAATAAATTAGAAATAATGAAAAAAAGGATATTGGACTTACTGTATATACCACACATTCAAGAGTCAGCATATCTACAAAAGAAAACGGCAGAGTTGCATGTGTCGGCACAGCTAACAAGAAGTTCCCAGTTCATTGTTGAGAAAAAAAGTAAAATTCAAGACCAGAAATTATCTCAGAATCATGTGCCTTCTATGGTTATCAGAGTCAAAAAGGCACCTTGGTACAGTTTACATACGGGTAATCTCCCAAACGGGCACTCTACACCACACTGAGAACAAAACACCACTTAAAAAGAGCCAGATCAAGGTATTCAAAGCTTTAGAGGACAAAAATCTGACATTCAAAGTCAATTCCTCCCTCAAATAACTTGTGATAACATGCACATATCAAGATCATTCAATGTTGCATTGAGTCAAAAGAAAGCAAACACCTGCCCCACTGGTTTTCTACTGGAAAATCCCCAGCAAACATACTCCTCCCACTACAGTCGGTTCGATATGGCCATTTCCATGATCAAGGAAAACAAGAACAGAAATAAGATACTTCGTTTATCACATATTTCTTCTCTTAAGAATAACTTCAGTGTCCATAAAACTAGGAGTGTTTGTAAAACACCAGGTCATCCTCAAAGGCCCCACAGTCAAAAGTGAGATTTAAAAGCAAAAAAAGGGCACAGGCCATAGGAAAAACAATAGAAGTGAGGGGAAAGGGCCAGGAGGAAATGAAGCAAAAACTTATAAATCAGTCTTAAAAGGGATTACCTGAAGAGATCTGTATTTTAAAGAAGACTTGATGAGACCTTAGCAGTTATGGACCTGTCACTCTACTGTCACCTCCATATGCTGCTGTGTGCTGCAATGCCCAGCAGTAGACATCTTATTTCCCTTTCATTTACAGGAACTTATTAGGAGTGGGATCAGAACATGACCTAGAAGTAACAGAATAGACCACATAGATGCCATGATATTTAATCCCATCAATTATTTCAAAGATGAATAATATCCAGAATGGATATGGATAACACCTAATGGTAAATGAACATAAAAATACAAAAAAATAGTTACTCAAAGGAAAAAAGTCTTACATAAATATCTAGAGTTTATGCTACACTGCTCAGAATAGCTTGTTGTCAAGGAATTATTATGTCCATTTCCCTCTTTACTTGTTAGAGACCCTACTCAAGTTCCTAAATCTTCACACTCAGTCAGTTGCATAATTTTTTTGTCTGGAAAGAATCTCTGGATTTTTGTTGGTGAAATTAAGGAATTATCACTGAATTCAATAGGACATACCAGATCTAGCCCTAAAGCATCCTTTCTCAGTGCTCTCCTTTCATCAGTGGATTTTTTTTTTTCCCCACTGAACTCACAGAAATCACATTAACTAGTAGAGAATTCTATTATGATTGTTTTTAACAAAACAGTGTTTCAAATGAAATGCCAGTTTTTCAAAACCAGAAATTTGGCAAAACAAGCTCCAGCTTTGATGCGATATTTGTCAAGAGCTGCTTTTCAGATCCATAAAATCCAAGATCAGAACAAAACAGAAAGACAGGTCAAGCTCTTCACAACATTACAGAATCAAGGCGTTTATGCATAAAACCACACTCTGAGTCTTTTGACGAGTGCTGTGGCCACCAATCTTTGGGCTATTCCCAAGTATCTCTTAAAAACCTTACTTCCTTCTCACTGTGTGGGACCTTAAGAAATGTTGCAGGATGGAAACCCCAGTTCTCTTTCATCTGTAACTAAAGGTCTTCAGTGAATTAAACACTTAGAGAAGGGGGCTGCTACCTGCTACACTTCCTCTAGTCTCACTCAGGAGATGCTCTTCCTGTGCTCCACCACAAAGAGATCAGGTCAAATCCTGCCTCTGGTGCCCAATTAAATTGGGTTTCCCAGATGTCATTTGTTTTGACAGCATAAACCAGCATTGACTAAAGGGAACAACGATGCAACTGCAATTGCCATATGAGGTCCAGCACATGACAAACTTAACTAGTAAATAAAAGACAAAGGGTGAAGTTTCCAAAATTCACCATAGACAAAAATGTGCCTTGGCAAACTACGGACCGTGGAAAGATTTTATCACACCACCCACAAACTGCTATTACTGAAAAAAATGTGTTATCCTTTATAAATGATGGAAGGTAAATATCTCACTTGCTGCACTGACCCAGCTCTAAACCTTATTTGTATATTTAATAATGAAATCAAATCATCTGAAAAGCTTATTTGAAATATTTCTTATACAGTTTAACTTGGAACTTTACAGAGTTTTGGAAACTCTCGAGATAGATGATCAAAAATATGATTGCATTCAAAGTTGTTATTAAATACATGTGTAACCAGAAAAAACTTCCTAAGCTTATTTAAATTCATTATTACTCACGTGGCTTATCAGACCTACCGTTATCATACTAAATTTCCAAAAAAAAAAAGAAATAAAAAAATAAAAATGGTGTGGGGTTGGATGGCTTAGGCTTTATGCTTTGGCTTTGTCTCCTTAATCGTTTGCTTTCTTACGTCTCATTTTCAATAGCCACACAACATTCACAATAAGCACAGGCTGATGTGAGTATCTATGATTTTGGAAGTTTCCATATTCCAGTCTAGACTTTGCATCAGAGGCTTTGCGGCCAGATCCAAGTCAGGCATTCAGCAAACTATATTGTATTTCGAACAAGTTTTTCATTCTCCTAACAGGTTATCTTGCTTATTTTTAAAGTCTCTCTGCAAACAAAAAGAAGGGGAGCTAGGACAAAGGAGGAAAGAAAAGAGTCCATTTGAAAAAATTACACTGCTAGATTACAAGAGTTGAAAGCTGGTATGTAACTTTGCTCCGGGTGATCAAACTGCTAATCAGGAATGCTGTCGGGAACAGAATGGAATTCCAAATAAATTAGCCATGTCCAAGAAGCCAATACAACACAGGATTAAGGCTCACAAAGAAAACAAATTTATTCAGCCTACTTTATCGGAATTCTTAATAATGTGTACTAGTTTTTCTCATCGCCGTCTGAGCTCTTCCACTGGAACAGTGTGGAGAAGGAAAAATGAGTCACACTTCATAAATCTCCTGCTTGTACAGACACCTAAAAATGTTATATAGAGCATGACATACAATACCATTATATATAAATACATATGCACATCACAGTTACAGTAGAAATGCGCATGTTTATTTCTCTAAATTTATTTCCAAGGCACCTGACCAAAGAAAAGACACTACACCCCTCTGTGAAAATGTACAGGGCTGAAGAAAGAGGTTAGAACTCCATTGATATCCACACCAAAATGAGCTTCAGTACCACAGTATATAAACCACTGAATTAACCAACTACGAAAATAAATCTCTCTCTTGTGTGACCATGCCATACATCACACTTTTTATCAAGTATAAAAAGAGAAATTCTTACGTCCACACACTGCAATGAGGAACACTGTGGCTGAGGTACTGTCTGCAGCAACTCAAATGCGTGTTCTATTTTTGCATCTGACAGCAGCCCAGAGAAACTTTGCAAGACAGTTTATTTCAAAAATCACAGGAATATTAAAATACATGCTTAGGTTTTTCCATTTATCTGAAATGGGATTTTCATCTTTATCAGACTGTTTTTCTCCATCTACGAGATACGATAATAGGCTCTTACCTATATAGTCGACTGAAGACAGAACTAATTTTTTTTGAAGTATTTTTGTAATTTTTTTTTTTTTAAAGGACAGAGTACTCATGAAAAGTACTTCGAGCAGAATCTAGGCACGTAGAGCAAAATTGTCCTGTGAGCAAAGTGCAGGTATTGTCTTGGCACCTGAAAAAAAACCAAACAAACCAACATATTCTAACTTTAAGCCATACATCGTGTAATACACTTATTCACCAGAAAATAGGAGACTGAATGCAGTGTCACTTATCCCCAAATCACCTTCCCTGAAAATGCATCTCCAATGGGTGAGGGTCAAATGATGTGAGCCATTGCTGCACCACTGAGAGATGTGACTAGACGGGTTCTGTCTACATCCCAAGGCATCCACTAGAGGCACAGAAATAACCATTTGATTTGAGCAAAATATTTTAGGGGAAATAAAACCTATGTTGTTTTCTCAGGAAAATAAACCAAGAAAGCAACAAGCACAACCAAAACTTTTCATGATGTGCAAGGAGAAGTGTTGATTTTAATTTCTGAAAGGGTGTCTTTAAATAGCAAACAGATTTGTGTTATTGACTACTGACAGAAATGTTTTGATTCAGGAGACAGCAGAAAAAAAACATTTTTCCAGCTAAAACAATTTGCCAGAGCTTTGGGAAACGTTCATAAATAGCTTCAAACCATTTGAGACAACAATTGTTGTAGATGAACTACTGGTCTGAAAAAAAAACACTACCCTCTTCTACCTTGATTTGCCAAATTGTCCCGTATATACTCTATATTAACGGGTGATTCATGTGCTTGAGCTAAGCACACCTGCAAGTGCTTGAAAAACTGGGGGGGATTTCTACATTTCCAGAATACAGACACTGGGTTTCTGAGTGAAGAAAGGAGGATGATCGCTGGCAACGAGCGGTGCCGCTCCGGTTACTCTCGGCTGATCATAGGCCAATGAGATGTATTCTGGGTTACCACATTAAATATTTGGCTTTACAAAATAATGTCATAAATTACAGTTTGATCAGCAAGTGCGCTCCTCTTGTACCCTAAAACCAGTATGCTTGAATTACATTTGAGATTTTTTTTTTTCCTTTTAAAAACACAGGAAAAAAGCAAGTAGGTGAAAGGTAACTGTATCACTTTACAGACACAAGCTACCCTCTGATTACAACTAATTAAGATATTCAGCAGCCTTAAAACAATACCTTTTTTAATCAATGAACCCAGACGGCATTCACAGCTTTTTGCGATGACAAATGCCCTTTGAAAGAGTTAATAGGCAAAGGTTTGTACTGGCAATGAATAGGGCTACCTTTAATTGATCCAAGAGCCTTAGAGAGCCGTCTTATAGCATGATGATGTATTTGGATTGCAAATAGGCCAAAATAAGCATAAAGAAAATCTGTAAGACCATGAGACCTTTCATTTTTTCATTGCGGGGAGAGAAGGAGGGGGGGGAACTGCTGGGGAAAATGAGAGAACTATGATGAGGTTATCTTTGTGCTCCAGCACTTAAAATAGATAAAACGACAATTTTTTAAGGAAAAGAGAGGAAGTGATCAGGCCATAATTCTGAGAATAAACGTCAGGATGCACGAAAATGCACAAAACAAGGCTTCTTTAGGAGAAATAAATAAAAAATAAAAAAAGAAGAGGAGATGACCTAATGGTATAAAGAAACATTGATTAAAGAAATGCCCTGGGGGAGAAAGATATTCCATCGGCTTTAACAAACACTGGATGGCCGTCCATTCCCTCTAAACTTCTTAAGTGAGGAAAAAAAAATATGTCTGGAGAAGAGACAGTCACATGGATCCATTTATAATTTTCCCCTCGTTATTTGCTCATCCTTTACACGGTTTTATTCAAGATGCACAGGAAATTTGCACCCAAGAATTGACTCACAAATTTAAACACGATGGGTTAGCAGTGAGACTTATTCCCCGAGTAGCCAAAGAAACAAAAATGAGCTTTTAAATGCAACATAAAACCCATTTAATCTTACTTTTTCTTTATGAGAGTGATTATACACTAATATTACATAATAATTATGAAGAAACTAGTCTCTCCATACTTTAACTAGCCTCTCGTTATAAGCACAATTTTGGCAGAATCCCTTCCTCATTTAGTAAAAGCTAAACCGATTTCCTTGAACTTTCACAGGTGCAAAATTTCTGCCAAGGTAGAATTTTTCTGGAAAGTCTGAGGCAAATCAGACAAGGAAATTCCTAGACTAAAAGACTATTTTAAAATGGAATTACTGTGTAAGCATATTATCACAAACTCAGTGGGGGGAAAAAAAATCAAATAGAAAGTTGCTGGGGTCTGAGATTTTCTTAATGGCCATGGAAGGAGTGCAGATAAAAACCTGATATCACTTCTTGAAAATAAAAAAAGCAGAGCAATAAAACACCCTATTCCTGTATATGCATCCACATGCATTAAGAAAAGTCAGTCAAGTCCACTTTCAATTTGGAACCGGGAACTGATAAGCTGCTCTCAAATTCTGCTCATCCTACAGCCATGAACAAGTCTTCTCCTAGCAGTAGCTAAACAGAAAAATACCAACACAAATTCTTCATTGCAGATCTGGGTAGAAATGAAGAAAAGACTGAAGTTCTCTCTCTCTCAGAAAATGAGCTGAGATAGGATGCTTTGAACAGTAATACACTCCCATTAGGGATATTCACCTCCTGCAAGGAGTTTTCTCCCCTGTGGTACAAAGCTCTGAGGAAAAGAAGGGTCTGAGATTTTCTTAATGGCCATGGAAGTAGTACAAAGCTCTGAGGAAAAGATCAAATAAGAACTTCCTGTCATAACTTCAAGACATTTTTCTAATCGATTATTCTGAGACCACATCACCAAGCACCACAGAATTGCAACCACACTGAGGTGAGGACCAGCTGCATCCCTCAGACCAAACCTCACTTCAGGCTCAAACACCAGTAGATGAACAGGAGATGTGGACAGTGGAAAGGTACTAAGGGGAGTGAGTATATGCTGGGTGTATAAGCCTTGCTTACTTCTGTGCAAACAGAGTCAAAATATTATGCTGTGTTTTGAGTTGTTTTCATTTTTTTAAAAAAATAACAATGATTTTTAGAAAGTCTTCTTGTTCTATTCACATTCAATTCAGCAGTTAGAATCTTCCTTTTTAATTCAAAGCCAAAATATTTCCTTCCACTATATCAGCTTACTAGTAAATTCAAGCTACCATAAATTTAATGAAATATATAAATAAAAAATAGGATGTAAAAATATTGGTTCTTTAAAGGACATCAAGTTTTGAGGAACACCTCAAAACCACCTGTGTTTTGTGCAGAGGACATTGGATAGATCACCCACTCCCCAGGCTCAAACACCAGTAGATGAACAGGAGATGTGGACTGTGGAAACGTACTAAGGGGAGTGAGTGTATCCTGGGTATATAAGCCTTGCTTACTTCTGTGCAAACAGAGTCAAAATATTATGCTGTGTTTTGAGTTGTTTTCATTTTTTTAAAAAAATAACAATGATTTTTAGAAAGTCTTCTTGTTCTATTCACATTCAATTCAGCAGTTAGAATCTTCCTTTTTAATTCAAAGCCAAAATATTTCCTTCCACTATATCAGCTTACTAGTAAATTCAAGCTACCATAAATTTAATGAAATATATAAATAAAAAATAGAATGTAAAAATACTGGTTCTTTAAAGGACATCAAGTTCTTGAGGAACACCTCAAAATCACCCATGTTTTGTGTAGAGGACATTGGATAGATCACTCACCCCCACAAACTTGGTGGAGCACCACTGTTTTATAAAATAGAAGACAATCATATCACAAAATAACCGTGTCCAGTAACTTACTATTTGATAGAAAACAAATGGGCCAACTTCAACTCCCAAACTTGGTGGAGCACCACTGTTTTATAAAATAGAAGACAATCACATCACAAAATAACCATGTCCAGTAACTTACTGGTTCTTTAAAGGACATCAAGTTCTTGAGGAACACCTCAAAATCACCCATGTTTTGTGTAGAGGACATTGGATAGATCACTCACCCCCACAAACTTGGTGGAGCACCACTGTTTTATAAAATAGAAGACAATCATATCACAAAATAACCGTGTCCAGTAACTTACTATTTGATAGAAAACAAATGGGCCAAATTCAACTACGCTTCTAGCTTGTAGGGGTCAGGGAAGACAACCAGGATTTCCTCCAAAGGATACGGCCATTAAAACTGCAGGTAAAGTCGCTCCACCAAGGCTCCTGGGACAAATGAGACCTACAAGTACAGAGGAAGTACAGGTGGTTGACTGGGTAGGAGGTTTCCTTTCACACCAAGAGCCGTGAGAGACAAACTACGAAATTCAGTCACCTCACCAGTCTCACAGTAGCCATTGAGACCTCAGAGACAGCTAAGGAAAAAGGTCACTAAAGGATAACAGGTAAAACCCTGGGATACAAAGGAAGTCACTGAGAACAGTAACACAAGAGCAAGTAAAATCAGAGGATGGGAAACATCTTTAAGACCTTTGCCTGAGGCCTATCAAGATGTTATTGTATCCTCTATATCTTATGTTCCATCAAGCCAACTCATACAGCATCTTCAACAGTGAAGCTTCCCTCAACAAATGGTACAATCAGCCCATTTGTGGGACACTCCACATTTCTACAAGACCATATTTCTACTGCTGTCCTTTTAGATAACCCACAGAAAAAGGGCCAATATTCAAGTCCTGCTCATGCACGTTCAACTTCACTGGAGAACACACCGAGACAGAAGGGCACTTGTGTGGCAAGTACCAGCAAAATCAGGACGAGTTTCCCAAATTAAGCCTAAAACGTGTTTGTTTATAGGTTTGGTTACACAGTGACAAAACACATCCCACCTGGAAGTGTGTGTGGGAGCTGCTTATGGAGGGCACGCCAACCGAGAGCTACCAGGGTATGGGTACGTACCCAAGGTTGTCACACTCCGTGACACTCATGTGAGCTCTGTGAACAAGCAGATTACTGGACATACATGTGTAATACAGTGAAATGGCAATGTTTCTAGGCACATCAAATTGACTCTCATTGTCATTAAGTTTACTCTTTACAGGCTCAAAATGACCACCAAGGCCAAAAATGTAAGAATCCTATATACATTAGCTTATCTGTAACCAAGCAAATAC